TGATTTTTTTCAAATTCATATCGGATGGAGTGCGTTGTCACCAGTACTTGATAATTGCCGATGCCATATGAAATCGGCAGAAGCGTCAGATCTGTGCTTAATAAAGAAATCGTTTTTGTCTCTCATTCTGCTGGATATGCAATCAGACGACGTATCCTCTTAGTCATGCACGGCGTGATATTTATATGAGTTCAAAGGGTCATTTATGGCGCCTAAATGTTTTTAATTTTTCGATTTTATTCCCTCTAACAGTAATTTTTACTTCAGATATTCCGTAGCATATTGGGACAGAACTAATTTTCAGCACTGATTTTCTGTGATGGTTTAAAAAGAATATTCTGTCAGAAATCATTGTCGGTTCACCATCGAAACATGGAAGAAGCCGATGGTATTATTTTGATGGCGCTGAAGGATCTCGAGTGGTAATGCTTAATATATTACGACTGTCAATGCTACAAACGGCATAAAAGTAAAACTAAAAATTCTTAAGCAGATTATTTCTTGCGCAACTCATTCTGAGCTATCTCAAATTTGTTTTAATATATATCGCAAAACTGAATTGTCAAAACTGTCAGTTTGACAACTAAAAGTTGATCTTGCCCTTCCATGTTCAAGTTTGCTTTATTATCATAAGTTGCTCATACACCCGAACGTGCTTAATAACCCATGACTCATCAAAGCTTAGTCTTCGCGGCGTACTGCACCGCTGACTTGCTCCATGTTGCCTAGGGACATTTAAGCGGGCCATGGCCCCCATGGCTTTTAAACACTTGCATTGCCAGATGCATCTCGCATTCCTTAACATATAAGGAATGTACCAGCTGCTCAAGCATCGTTCGTTATGAGCGCCAGATAGCTCTGGGGGACAAAATAATGCGAGATATTTCTGCCATTGCAGGCTCTCAAACACCATAGAGCCGTGGCGTGGTTAAATAACCAATGGGAGCTAGGGGGCGGTACAATTCGTCGCGAAATTTGATTTTGAGGTGATCATGCATTAGTTTTCAGTAATATCATGTCTTTTGCATCTAAACTGTTGCAGATGTTATTCACCTTTCCATGTTATTTAATTCTTAAATACTTAATTCATCTAACTTTTATTATTATGTGACGCCGCTACAATACGCCTTTATTTAGTGATGTCGCCCACGTTCACAGTGTTGATGAAATGGACGGCAAACGTATTTTTGAATGCGTTGTTCGCTGCTTGCAGGCGATTCAGAAAAACCATCTGAGTATAAGTCCGCGGCTACCTGACGGCATGGCGAGCAGAATTAAGGCCGCATCGCGCATTTCAGAAATCATAAAGGCGAGTGGAAACTTTTTCATGTTTCTGATTATGGACCCATAGTTATATAAATGGTCATGGCTCGGGGCACAAAATATAGCAGACGGTAAATGGTTTAATGCAAACGCGTAGCACAGACCACAGCATCATCAGGGCTGGACTGAAAGTCTAGCATCAGTCTGAAAACTTAAATGGGCATCAGTCCAGTTTATACGTAGTTGTTTGAATGATTCATGGTTCGGGACACCAAATACAGCAGATGGTAAATAGTAACAGGCATTAAACTGTTTACCACATGTTGTGCTTGGTACCCAGAACCATGAATCATTAAAACAAGTATGAGAGGAAACTTATGATTCAAGTTTATCTTTGATGAGAAACTCTTCACGCTAATTTCTTTTCTCGTAATTTATGTAGATATAACTTCCCTAGGGGCTTGCCAAAGTTTATTAATCTGTTATTTGCATCTTTCTATACTTTTTCCATTTTTTGCCTGTCTATTGCATGTTTTCATGGTTTAAGGGTTCTATGGAATGACCTTGTTCAACTTGCCATATCTGTTTTACCTGTATATTATCTTTTGCGGTAGATTTTTGGCTGTTTATCGAGAATCAACGCTTGAAGTTTGACTTTAACTTCAGCCACTACCAGCTCGTGAACGCTTCTGTACATGTTCGTTGTCCTTAGGTGATGAGAACATGGTCAGTCTGGTTTCCCGTCGATGCATCATGGATATATCATGTGATTTTTAAGTATACCATGTACTGCCAACAAGTCGGCCATGCATCTCATACAGTTCTGCTGGTCATTGACCGTTATTATTCATCTCGCAAATGCTGTATAATCTCCGGCATCTATACAGCTCATTTTCCTTGTTCCCACTTTCATGTCGAAATAACACTGAACAGTCAAGATATCATGAGTTCGATTCTGTTGCGGCAACAGACTCAGCGCAGCATACAAATCTTTTTTTGATTTCCTCTGCCGCTACTTTGATGCGGCTATTAGAATCAGCTACTGAGTCAGCCAACTCTTTCATACCTGAAGTGGAACCTTTGCATAATTATCTGTTCAGATGCCACGCAAAGGCTCTTTCTGTATTTCTATGGTGACTGTGCCAGGTCAAACGACTTTTTGAAATAGCAGCTTCTTTTGCATTTTCCGTGCAGTGAAAGCTATAATTTCCGGTTGTCACAGCGCTTGTAGTAAACCAGTGGTTCTCCTGTATTGCAGCTCTGTATTGCCATTCAATTCAGTGGCTGTCCAGGTCTGTTTAACGTTCGCACATTCCGCGCGACCAGGTCTCTTTGACATTTACCACTGAAAGGTGTTTTCCTCCGTTCTTAAGTATTTCGAGATCCATACTCGTAGTCAGTGAGGTTACCGGAACTGTTGCAAATAAATTCCCCTGCACTTGATATATTTTGTGCGATTTCTTAAATATAAATCCGTCGAGTGAATGATTCACCTGAAACAGCCTCTCCTGAACCTCGTTAGTCATCCGTTTCGGCGTTGATTATTAGCTTTTACGGCAACCGTAGCGCTGGGGTGAATGCACTCCGCCATTTCCTTACATTAGACTTTACTGGGTCCTCAAAGTTCAAGTGAGAGGTTGGACTCTGAGGACCAAGAATGAATGAACAAATCATAAAATATATTAATTGAGGAATTAGGGAACGAGTAAATATTAATCTAGAGAGGACGGAACGAAATACTGAAGAACGACGGATCTAAGAAGCTAATGAAAGAGGAAGTAAAGCCCTTTTAAGTAAAGAATAAAGAGTAATAGTTGCTGAATAAGAAATAGGAAAATTGTAAGGGAAAGAAAGGAGCAACATATTGTAGAACGAAGGACATGAGAGAAAAATTCAACAACACAGGAATCGATCTGGGGACATGGAAACTTGGAACCTCTGGAGTTGAACAACTGATCAGGAGGAAAACGGATGAAAGGAATGAACATGGAAAGGCAGAAGCTGAAGACTGCTGATTTAAAAGGCGAGCGAAGATACTGAGCATAATTGCAGCTTTAGCACTAATTGATATAGTAGTTTTTGATTAAAGTAGACTGAGTCTACGTTTGATGTCATATTATGCAAAACTGATTATGAAGTCTGCTTAGAAACCCAAAATCTTATATCTAGTTTACAATCAATTGCCAAGAATCGAGTTACTGCCGAATATTAATTTAGGATCTTGGATACGTGCATGATATCGGTTATCACACCATCCTCTACGGAAGTGTGAGTGACGTACGCCAGCTGTTCTGCTTTCTTATTGAGCTGCTGCCGAAGGACGCCGGCTCAGAGCAGGTAGCTGAAAAAAGTAAGTTGCTTAATATGTGCTTCCGGCTTTTTGATCGAATAAATTTTTTTTCGGAAAATTTTGTTTTCGTCTAAGCATTAACGGTAGGCTTATAGTTTGGACACACTCCTCAAAAAAAACTTACTTGTTTGTTTATGTTTTTGATTTTTCCGCCTTGTCTTTCTATTGTTGTTGATGTTGTTGCTGTTACGACTGTCACTGTCACTGGTCTAGCCGGCTACAGTGACGTTTAGGATCGCTGCTTTTCGTCTTTGTCGCTCACTGTCACACACTGGCACAATTACTGTCACCAACTTCGTCTGGTCCTTCTTCCAGTGTTTGTT